CGGAAACCGAGCGACATATGATGAATGGGAATCAAGCCATTTGGAAGGCATCGTGAGACCAAAGACCGACAAACATCAAAGAGGGGAAGAGGCAAGGTACCTAAAACGATCTACCGACCAATCACAGCCAAACGGTTGATTTACACTATCTTATTCATCAGTAGTGTAGTAAGTAGTACACATACGTCTTGCTTGGATACGAAATAGACTACGCGTAATAGAATAGACTGAAACGTTTCAGATAAGATTTCAAGGGGGAGCGGAAAGACCGCTGTAAACCATTTGGCCTAAGGGCCGATGCGACTAGATGCTAGTTAATTACATCTCAGGGTTCGGAAGAGGACGTTCTACGTCACAAGTTTAGACATGAAAGAGTTGCTGGTACCAACATGTCATCAAAATGAACGGCACTGTCTATAGAGTATATGCTCCCTCAAGGGGTTAAGGGATTGTGGAATTGGACCGGAGTAATGCTAGACTGATGACAGTTGTGCAGACATGGACTGGATGAAAGAGACAAAAGTCCAACGTGTGAAGTGAATTATATCGAATGTGTCGAAGGGTTGAATATGCAAGGATTAAGGAGCGATCATTGGACAATGGTCGAAACACATTTACTGCAATGACTGACGGGTGCTAAACGAGGAAGGGCGGGCAATGGTGAAGCATCCTGGAATTGAATGTGTAAGTGAATGTCTCCAAAATCTTTAAATCTTTACACAGGCCATGTGATATAGGTTTGATACTGAGGAATAAAATGCAAGTGTTGTTCATTTACTGTGATCAAATTATCAGTAGATTGAGAAGCTGCAATGTGGAGCTCAACTATCAGTAAAGATGATTACAAACAGTCAGTGAATGAAAATCCACGTTACATTTCTGTATCTCAATTAGGGTTTCTCCACTGGAAATGTGGAATAACCGCCTGATTCTGCTATGGGATCATCAAAAAGAAATTTTCTCTCCACAAAGTGATGGTGGCAAAGACATCCGCTGTTAGATTATTGATAGATGTATGGGCTTCGAAAAGAGTCTTCATCCTATAATATATGGTTGATACATTCTTTCATCGATAGCGAAAACTAAACTCTCATGAAGCACTTTATGATTGAGTGATAATTATAACACACTATTATGAAATAGTCGACTGAACGAGTATGCAGCACAATGATATAAGTTGCTCTTTTGTTTCAAAACTGAAAGTACTTGATCCGCCTGTTGAACTAGTCGATCATGCGTTTACTCTAATTGTACAGAACTGAATACAGTAAACGAGTCAAACCCTATAGTCCAAAGATGTACAGAATGGCAGAAGATTGAATGAAGAACATTCAAATTAGAATTAGCCTGTTGAGTCTGCGCTTAGAGATAGGCGTGTTGTGAGTTGCAGGGACGACCGAAACAAGGACAGTGCTTCACAGTTGTGTCATTCTGACTGACTGAAAGTTAGAAATGTGACACCTAGCAGTAGTCAGTTGAAATAGTTAACGACCCACCTGTGCATGGAGACAACGAGGAAGAAGATCAAATAAGTTAAAGGGGAAAGAGACAAGTTTGATATTGCAGAAGCCAGAACAGAATAAATAGAACAAAGATGAGGAAGCGACTGATAAAACAGCGAGCTAGTGACTCCAATTTATATATGGAGAGTGGTTATTGATGAGAGTAGTGACTTCCCCTTCAATCCAATCAATTGTTAGTGTAATTTTAATTGCAATTTTGTTAACTTCTGTATGTATAAAGTCTATATTTCGATCAAACATAAAAGTCAAGTCAAGGAATCGCTTTATACACCTCGAGAGGTGGATATTCAGCAACCACATAACCACAGTGTGTCAACAAAAAGTGGAAAAAACAATAATAGTATAGTATAGTAAAGTAGTAGTAAAGTATAGTAGTAGTAGTACAGCAATTAACGGACGTAAAAAAGGACAGCAATATCAAAAATCAATGGCATATCCGGATGTTTATCATGAATTTAGTTTATTTTATTCAGCAGAGGGAGAAAAAGATATAAATCCCGAAAATGTTAAAACAGTCCACGAAAATCTATTCGGTATCAACTTGAATATGCGCTAAATGAGCCATCTGCACGTACAGTTTTGTAAAAATGTTTTGTCATCGAATCGTAACAAATAGATCTGTGTACGAACAAGGATCCTCGGTGAGAGCGATTCGTTTAGCTTAACTGTGAGACCACAAAGTGAAGAGTAAAATAAACAACGTAATTAGTATCATTGGAAGTATAAAAAATAAATCTTTTTTTTTTAAATTAGTTGAATTTCAGAAATTAATTGATAAATTACACAAGCTGCGTCAATTTCGTGGCTTTACTCCAGACCATTATCGTGCAGTTTCGAGTATTGATCATTTAAAACAACAACTGAAATCAAAAGCTCACCAAAGACCCGATGTTAGACAATTTCAAAACATTTTTCTAGAGGTATCATTTCACCATCAAATGCAAATAACTGTCGTTACATTTCGAGTTAACTAAGACAAGATTGTCAGCTCAGAAGTTAACCCCAATCGAACGCTGTTCATGTTATTGGCCACTACTTCTTCACTGTGTTACACCGAGTTACTACCGAGATTCATGCGAATCGGAATTCGAAATGTTCACCCTGTCAATTTTTGTGTCCTAATTATGTTTCGCCTGTGTTGTACAGAAATGCTTATTGTTCCAGGAAATAGAGGAGTTTATTTTAACCCGGAAAGGTTTCATTAATTTGAGAATTGTTGTTCACTATTCCTCAAGCGTATTGAATTTGCGTTTCTCAACCCACATGTTTTCTTAATTTTCCTAGTTTATACCGCGGCTCAGCAAACTTTCACTTGTGAGTTTATGCACCAATATTTAATCGTTGTCTCATAACTTGGAGAGTGGAAACAAGTAGTACGAGAAATTTGTATTTATATAGACTTTTGCGAGAATAGAATGTTCGTATCTCAGTCATCAATAGAAGGAAAGATACAAGTAAAATATTTAGTCTTTAACGTAACTGAGAAGTTCGGAAGAAGCGCGCTCTCGGTTTACAAGGATTCTGGCAAGATAGGGAACTGGGAAATTTCTGTTGAGACTAATGCGAGGGGGTACTAATCGATAAGAAGAACGTGTAGACATGTGAGAGCAGCATTTAGATAAATCGCCATGTAAAGGATGAGTGTGGGGTCAGAGAGGATTTTCTGGGGAAATGTTTCACATGCGGACAAGCGAATTTGACACAGTTTTTTAGATAGCTCATCAACGGGTATAAAAGACCCACGACTGATGATCGACAAACCTCGACGAAGAATTTCGAAGTCTTTCTTTAGTAGACCAGCGAAAACCACCGGGGAACAATACAGAAGAACGAGAAAAACACATTGACAAACAAAAAGTGAAATGATTTTTTGCTTGGCATTGAACTGTCCAAGTCTTCGAATTTGAAAAGATAATTTGCGAAGTTTCAGTTCAGAGTTGTTAATATGGAATGTCCACTTCAAGTTAGTGTCAATTGTAACTCCCAGATACTTCACAGAATCAACTCTAGTTGGGGGATCCGTATTTATGACAGACGGATCACGAGGATAAACAGATCGAGAAAGGGAGAAAGTGCATTCGNCTTGGATAAATTAAGAGATAGTCCAGAACGAACGGAAAATTCATGAATATGCAATAGATTGTTCGAGAAATGAAAGAGATCCTCAGGCAGTGGGCTATGTCATCAGCATATTGAAATAACTGGGCTGGAGAACTCGCGGACAGATCACTGATGTAGGTGGAAAACAAGAGCGGAGACAAAACGGCACCCTGTAGTACTCCGGAATTGTTCACAAGTGATTTAGACGTTTTCCTACCGAGCCAAGTCTGCTGAGTTCTGTTTGAATTAGTCGAC